GAACATCTGAGAAATAATATCAGCAAATTATGTGCTGCAACATTGTATGTAGTGCATATTACTAATGATAAGATGTACAAAAACACCCCAAAAAACAGACGGTCGTAAGTGAGGTTCGGGGTCACTCGAATATGTCGTTAAGGACTACCTATGTAGTGAAGATACTGAGATGTCAGTTGCTTGATTTGTTGTTGTTGTTGTCGGTTGCTGTCAAGTCGATGCTGACTCATGGTGATCCCGTGTATGTCAGAGTAGAACTGCTGCATAGGATTTTCAAGGCTGTGACCTTTCAGAAGCAGATCATCAGGCTTGTCTTCTGAGGTTTCTCTTGGTGGATTCAAACCTCCAACCTTTTGGCTAGTAGTCAAGCACTTAACCATTTGTGCCACCCAGAGACTCAGTCTCTTGATTGTTGTTGTTGTTAGGTGTCGTTGAGTTGGTTCCGACTCATAGCGACCCTCTGTACAACAGAACAAAACACTGCCTGGTCCTGTGCCATCCTCACAATCATTGTTATGTTTGAGCCCATTGTGGCAGCCACTGTGTCAGTTCATCTCATTGAAGGTCTTTCTCTTCTTCACTGACTGTCATGGATCGATTGTGTCCCCCTAAAATATCTGTCAACTTGGCTAGGTCATGATTCCCAGTATTGTATGTTTGTCTACCATTTTATCATCTGATGTGATTTCCCTATGTGTTGTAAATTCTATCACTGTGATGTAATAAGGTGGATTAGTGGCAGTTATATTGATGAGATCTAAAAGATTAGATAGTGTCTTAAGCCAATCTCTTTTGAGATATAAAAAAGAGAAGTGAGCAGAGTGACAAAGGAAACTTATACCACCAAGAAAGCATTTCCAGGAGCAGAGCATGTCCTTTGGACCAGAGGTTCTTGAGTAGAGACGCTCCTAGACCAAGGGAAGATTGATGACTTGGACCTTCTTCCAGAGCCAACAGAAAGAGAAAGCCTTCCCCTGGAGCTGACACCCTGAATTTGGACCTGTAGCCTACTGAACTGTGAGAGAATAAATTTCTCTTTGTTAAAGCCATCCACTTGGATATTTCTGTTATGGCAGCACTAGATGACTAAGACACTGACCCTCTAATTTACGAAGTGTGATGTCCTTATCCAGGGACTGGTCCCTCTGATAACATGTCCAAAGTATGTAAGACAAAGTCTCACCATTCTCCCTACTAAGGAATATTCTGGCTGTACTTCTTCCAAGACAGATTTGTTCATTCTTCTGGCAGTCCATGGTGTGTTCAGTATTCTTTGCCAACACTGTAATTCAAAGGCATCAATTCTTCTTCAGTCTGCTTTATTCATTGTCCAGCTTTTGCATGCATATAAGGTGACTGAAAATACCATGGCTTGGCTCAGGTACACCTTAGTCCTCAAAGTGACATCTTTGCTTTTTAGCACTTTAAAGAGGTCTTTTGCAGCAGATTTGCTCAATGCAATATGTTGTTTGATTTCTTGATGGCTGTTTCCCAGACATTTTTTTGGTTTAAAGTTTAAGATTTAGAGATTATCTCAGGGTGATAGTTTTGGGGATTCATCCAGCCTCCGTGGCTCCAGAAAGTCTGGATTTCATGATAATTTAAAATTCTGTTCTGCATTTTCCCCCTTTTGACCAGGATTCTTCTACAGAATCTTTGATCAAAATGTTCAGTAATGGCAGCTGGGCACCATCCAGTTCTGGTCTCATGGCAGAGGAGGCAGTTGTTCATCAAGGCAATTAGCCACATATGTAGCTTAGTCTTGACCAATAGAATACCGTGAAAGTGATGCTGTGTGTTTTCTGAGTCCAGAAGTTTTGCATTTTCAACATGGGGCTCTTGGAACTCTTGTTTTTGGGACACTCCTTTTGGAACCCAGCTGCTATGTTTCAAGAACCCCAAACCATATGGAGAGGCCACGTGTAGGCACTCTAGTTGACAGCCCCAGCTGTGTTCCTAGTTGATAGCCAGAATCAACTTCCAGCTGTATGAGTGAGCCTCTTTGGACACCTAGCCCAGTTGAGCCTTCAAATGACTAGAGACCCAGTCAACATCTGACTGCAGTTGAATGAGAGACCACAAGTGAGTATTGTCTAGCAGTCAATCCACAGAATCATGAGCAATAACAAAAAATTTTTCTCTTAAGTTACTAAGTTTTGGAGTTGTTTGGTATGCAGGAATATATAAATAGAACCATGTTTCTGAGGCAACCTTCACTCCATGGGTGATAAGAGTTGGTAGATAAATACTTCAGCTTATCTATCATCCGGTGAGAGAATTCTAAGAAGATGCTGGGAAATACTCAGTTACTCTGGAAGAGTCTCAGATAATCTGATACAGGTAGTGGACAGAGGGAATGGAGAGCCTCCAGTAGGCTGATGAAGGAGAAATGCAGAGATGGAGAGAGAAACCAAGTGAGAGGCAAATAAACTGAGATACAGTGATACACAGTGGAAAGATGCGTGGGGAGAGAGAGGAAGACATACGTGGAAGAAGAAGATGAGGCTCAGTGATGGAGAGAGACTGAGAGAAGAGAGATGGAGAGGAGATGATGAAATCTGGGGTGATTTAAAGGTGAGAGGAACTAAGATGAGAGGGGGACAAACATTCTGAGAAATGGAAAAGAAGATTGTGTGAGATTAGATATGGATAAAGTCAAACTGAAATGGAAAAAATGGAGCAATATTATCAAACTGAGAAATGGAGAGAGAAGAGGAGTGGTGTTATGGATTGAATTGTGTCCCCCAAAATGATATGTTGAAGTCCTAACCCCTGGTATCTGTGAACATGACCTTGTTTGAAAATAGGGTCTTTGAAGACGTTATCAGTTAAATTAACATGAGGTCAAACTGGAATAGGGTGGGTCTTGATGCATTATGAGTGGTGTGATGGTTAATATTGTGTGTCGACTTCGCTGGGACATGATTCTCAGTGTTTATATGTGATCACTCTCATGACTGAATATGCTGTAAGTAGCCAATCAGTTGAAAGGGAGTTTCCTTGGGGGTGTGGCCTGCATCTGAATACAAGCAGAAGTTCTGGCTTTTTGCTGCTCTGGATCCTGTGGCTGCCTCCTGTTCATCTGACCTCCGGTTCTTGGAACTTGAGCTATCAGCTTATCTGTCAATCTTGGATTCATTGACCTTCACAGCCTGTGAGTGGGAACGCTGCTCTCCAATCTGCTGATCTTGGGTTTGCCAGCCCCTGCAGCTACGTGAATCAGGAGAAGCCTTGAGGTCTTGCCTGTCAGCCTTGGGATTCATCAATCTTCACAGCCTGTGAGCAAGAGCCCTGCTCTCTGACCTGCCGATCTTGGGTTCACCACCCCTGTGGCTATGTGAATCAAGAGAAGCCTCTATCCTGATCCACGGACTAGGGACGTTCCAGCCTCTACAATTGCGTGGGCTGTTTTCTTGATATAAATCTCTTATATATATATATATATATATATATATATGCTTTATGGTTTTGCTTCTCTAGAGAACCCAGCCTAAGACATGATCTACTTCTGAAAAATCAGCCATTGAAACCCTATGGAGCACAGTTCTACTCTGACATAGGAGAGGCTGGGCTGGTGGTGCATCATGAGAATAGCTGCAGGAGTGGGGAATGGTGACAGGTGGCAGGTGGCTCTTATACCCAAGAATCAAGGAGTGGCTGGCAGGGCTAGGTCCATGGGGGTCCTTCCTCTGGGGATCCCACTGCCCCACCTCTCCTTGGGCACCCCCTAGTCTCTTTCTTCATATCAGCCTCACTGGTGGTCAGCCAGGATCTGAATGATCTGGGTCAGGCCTGGGGGGCTCAGGCCAGAGTCCTCTCCCCCCAGGCCCTTCTGCAAAGAGGAAATGAGCGTGAAGTTCAGCCTTGCCAGGGTCTTATCAGAGCCCATAAAACGCTGCCCAGACCTTTGTTGGCAGAGGTAGGGTGGCACCAGGAGGGTTGTGCAGGTCTGCAGGAGTGGCCAGGACAGGTGGGCAGTGGAAGTTGGTGAAAGCAGGTGGAGCCGGAACTGAGGGCTCCCGACTCTCCCAGGAACAGTGAAAGGACCTACAGTGATCGCATGCCTGCTGCATTCCTCTCCTGTGTACATTGTACTGTATAGTGGCTTACAGCACTAACTCTGGAGCCAGAGGTTCTGGGTTCAAATCCTGCCTCTGGCTCCTCTGGCTGTGAACCTTTGGAAAGTGTCTTAACCCCAATTTCCCCATTTGCCCATCTGTAAAATGGGGATAATAATAGCATGAGCCTTATAGTCCTTGTAAGCAACGAGTAAGTTAATAAAGGGCTTTCAACAGGACTTAGCATATAGAGGGCACTGAAATTAATGCTTGCTCTCTTGTCCTCAAGGTGCCCCTGGCTGATATAAATGGTTAAGCACGCTTTTACTAACCAAGTTTGGCAGTTCAAACCTACCCAGAAGTGTCTCAGAAGAAAGGCCTGGCGATCTGCTTCTTAAAGGTCACAACCATGAAAACCCTGTGGAGCTGTCCTACTCTGCACACATGGGGTCACCATGAGTTGGAATCGCCTCAACGGCAACTGGTTGGCTCTTGTTCTCATTCCAAACACATAAATCCAGGAGGTTGGGAGTATATTTGGATAAGAAAATCTGAAGCTGAAAGAAATGAGGCAATTGGCCCAAGACTGGATAGTAATGAATGGAGCCAGAATCAAACCCCAGGCCGACTCCGGGCCCAGATTCCACTCTCCTGTACAGTGAGGGTGCCAGGCTGGTGACGGACACTCTCCACTTAGGGGCAGGCAGTAGACCATCTGGAGCCTCCTAGCACAGGGGGAGCCCTGTGACCTGCACTTGCTCCTACGCCCCCAGACTACTGGCCCGCGCCTGCCCGCCCTAGCTCCTGATGGTCATCACCTGCAGGGCACCCATTCCACTGGTCAGATCTCTGTCCCCAACCTTCAGCACAACTGTGGTCCTTGCAGCCCCCAGGCATAGCTCAGCCCCTTTCTGCCTCTCCTCTCTCCCCAAGGTCACCAGGTTCTTTACATGGTTTTATTGTTCACGGGGCAAAGATAAGGCCTTGTACTGGAGGAAATCCGTGTTGTAAAGTTATAAACTGGGAGACGGCGGGAGAAGGCACCAAGGCAGCACAAAGCTAGACCAGGGCATGCCGGCTCTCAGAGCTTGGAGAAGGTGACGCTTTTCAGTTCCTTCTTCTCCATCGCAGCCTGGACAGACTTCACGATGTCATCGGTTTGCAGCATGCTCATGTTCCAGTTGCGCTGCAGAAAGAGGGCCGTGGCAACAGAAGATGCGGGGAACATTTGGTTGGACCAATGAATATCGGGGGGTAGCCAGTAGCCCACCAATCAGAGGATACGGCATGCAGAGGGCTGCTGAGCTCTGATTGGCTGCTCTGGAATGGGAGACGAACTGTGATTGGCGAGAAGGAAACGCTCACCACGAAGTTGAGGCTGTCAGCCACCGGATGGTCGCGGGCATAGAGCAGGTTGACTTTAGTGCCCTGCACCGCCACGGGGCTCTTGCTGGAAATCTCCGCTGCTAGGGAGAAGGCTGCGTCAAGCAAGGCCTCCTTGTCTGGGAACACCCGACTGTGGATGAAAGGGAATCAAGAATCGGGTGGCTGG